CACCCAACCTAGGACCTCGAAGCGACATACAACAAGCCAACCTCCGCCAAACCGCGTCTAGCTCTCATCAACCTCGGACAATGGCTCTGCCAAGCCCACAATCTCGCCTCCTCGCAGCGCAAAGTCATCGACTGCGCCACACGTCTGCTCGGCGACCTGGGCTACGGCATCACCGTCAAGAAACAAAAGCTGATCATCGATTGTGCCCGCGGATGTCCCGAGATCGCGGCCGTCGACGCGGCGATGTATGCGGCGCGTGCTCACTACTCTCTGGGTGAGCGGACGCTGGGACGGCAGTTTGAGGAGTTTGCGGAGGGCTTTTGGATGGTGCTGTATGCGGAGAAGAGGGGGTTTGGGGAGAGGTATGGGGTGTCTTGATCTTGCGGCGGGCTTGAGGCTGGCGGCTGTGTGCACGGCCGTTGAGATGAGGCTCTGCGCCTTCGGGTGGCGTTTCAGGGTGGACGCAGCTCCAGGAGACACCTCCGTTTCCGCTGAGATAGGGTGGGCTTCGCCGTCGCTCTCATGCTAGGATGCTTCAGCTGTCACAATTGGTTCTACAATCGAGGTGGTTCAGGACATGAGCGAGACAGCTTATTTAAGGAACGAACATGGACGTTCAAGTTACCACACTTCTCCTTCCGCTACTTCGCATCCACTCAGCATTTTAGCGTGGAGTGTTCACGCTTGCTTCGCAAACGCCGCAAGGTTCCTCGCCAAGTCCTGATGCATCTCCGGCACCGCCTGGCGAAACGCCAAACAAGCGCCCTGCACGGAGCCAAGATTCACGTGCCCGACAGCCTTCACTCCCGCACTTACCAGCTTCCGCAGATACGCCTCCCCTTCCGAGCGCAACGGGCTGAGCTCATCCATCACAATGACATGCGGCGGCAGACCCTCCAAATCCTCCTTACTAGCGTGAAACGGCCAAGCGAGCGGATTCGTAGCATCCGCGGCAAGCGGCGTGTAGCTGTGCGCCATGTAGGCCATGTAATGAACGTTGATGACATAGCCATCGCACTCGATCAGCGACGGCAGCTTCGCGAGTCTGGCGGCCAGGGACCCGGTGTAGGCGTTTGAGATAAAGGGCGAATACGTATACACACCGTCGATGCGGTTCAGCCAGCCTTCCCGTTTCGCCTTGATGGCCGCAGCGAGCGCCAGGTTCGCACCGCCGCCGTCGCCGTGGAGGACGATGTTGCGGGTATTGAGATCTTCCCGGTGATTGTAGACGAACTTCACCGCGGAGCAGACGTCGTTGAGTGCGGCGGGGAACATCGGGAAGCCGTTCGTGGCGGTGCGTGCGTTGCGGTAGTCGACATGCACTACAATCAAGCCTTGTGCTGCGAGCGAGATGCACCACCGCCGGTGGACCTTGTCGTTGGCACTGGTGAAGTACATGCCGCCGCCACCGTCACCGTGGGAGTAGACCACGCACGGTAGTGCGCCGCCCTTGACGACTGGCCGGTAGATTTGCAACTCTATCAGATTGGCATCCGAGCCCACAATTCTCACTGTTCGGTTCTCGACCTGAAGATCCCAGCGGTCTCTCGGAAGACTGTTGGGCAATAGCTCGTACATGTCTGCAGAAGCCTCCTTAGCTTGTGCAAGGCTTGCTCTCGCTTCGTCCAGCGTTGAGCTCGGCGAAAGCGTCGCCGGAGAAGGCGGCGTGCGCATACGATCCAAGCCAAGTGCCGACAGTACTGCGAGTAAGCGTGGGTCGAGTCGCGGTTCCTGGTACAGCTCCATACTCGGATGACCTAGGCGACCTGGCGGTACGTACGATGCATGTGGTGAGACGGTCCCTGTCGCTGAACTCGGCTCCTTAGCCTCAACTGTGGTCGATAACGCACGAGGGTCTCGTGGCAAGGCGCCTGCTTGGCTTCGCTTGCGTTTGGAGGGTAGCGCTGGATCTTCCATTGTTTTGTCTAGATCACAAGGTAGTAAGGGTGCAGTCAAAACCGGAATCTCAGTATTGCGCGAGCTGATACTTATCCATACGCTGGGAAGCATGCCTGGGGAGTGATTGGGCCGAGGATCAAGGCACCATCCTGGCCACTGCATGGTCTCCTGGCCCGCAGTCTCGTCTAGAAGACAGCATTCAAGCTCAACGAGGCATTCTTAGCCTTCAGTGCGGGAATAAGACGTAGCGGAGGGCGTCCACACATCGAGACAGCGAATGTCCGAAGCTCCGCGGACTACTCTATCCCCCCACCAGATGTTATTTGGTGTACGGACCGCATTTATGCCGCAGGCTATCCGGATTTCGCGGCGTTGCCGTCAAGGGTGGCAGCGGAGCACCGGTATTGAGATTGTGAATCAGCTTTAAGCGGGTGCCGCCGACCTCGCGAGATGGAGGGCGACCTGTGACATGGGACTCCAGCAAGAGCCGAATAGCGAGGAGGCTGTCTTCGATCACATCGTCGTGTGGAGGACTGGGCGTATCGGAGCGGCGCACAGGCTGCTGCGACTTGGGACCGACACCGTCGACCCCCGGCCGTCCCTGCTGCATACTAGGCTGCACCTCGATGCTCAGCGCGCTGTTTCGCTGTTCGGTCTTGCTCGTCTCACACTCCAGAAGATGGACATCGGAGGAGTATTTATCAGCTCGGGACACGAGGTGAGGTCGGCCGGTGAATCTTCGGAAGCTTGTGCCCATCGCGTGGCAACGTCACGACTCGCTTCGGACCAAATGCCTCTCCGTTGATCAATAATACAACAGATGTGTTCTCTCACCAATCCTCGACGCGACCGGGGGACAACTTTGTAGTCTCATGTTCCGTCTCGCGTCTCGCACGTTCGACACAGCTGTCAGAGACGCATGCATGGCCTCCGGCAAAGCGCCAATGAGCTACTCGGCTGCCGTGTCCGGGTCGACAGGTGCGTCTGGGTCAGACGCAAAGCGCCAGATCAGTTCACATACAGCTCCAACTACCGGGAATGTGGCTCCATCAAAAGCGAATGCACCGCCTAGACCGCGGACACCATCACCATCTCGCCACCGACCTCAGGGTGTACCCGAGGACGACGCAGTCTACGTAGTCACTCTCCTGACCGACAAACCACATCACGACCGCATGACCCAACTCAGAACACAATACTTTCCCAAACGCATCAACAAGTTGGATGCACATCTTACCTTCTTCCACGCTTTGCCCGGCAGTAAACTCGAATCCTCGATTATCCCGGTATTGCAGGATGTTGCTCAAAAGACTGCTCCCTTCAAGCTACTCGCAACCAAGCCTTTCCGCCTGAAGCACGGTATAGCCCTCTCAGTTGCCAAGACACAAGGCGCGCAGCAGGCTCAGGCTGTGCACGAGGCGCTCCAGGAGTCGTGGCTCAAGGAAGATTTTCTCAGCGAGCAGGACAGAGGCGGCTGCCGCGTTCATTATACGATCATGAACAAAGTCGACGACGAAGTTGAGGTGGCGAAAGCGCTCCAACAGGTGCAGGAGAGCTTCCAGCCTGACGCTGGTACCGCGGAAGGTTTGGGTCTGTGGCGGTACGACCGTGGGTGGTGGCGATGGGAGAGGCGGTTTGACTTTGCGGGATAAGGACGCTTGCCAAGGTCTGGTGCAAACTGGAAGGAACGTCATACACGACGTACCACGTTCGCGGGGACCGACGGAGTAATTGAGCGACATACTGCTCCTGCAGGGTTGGTCGCCGCTGCGCTGCCAGTATAGGACGGCTGAGATGACACCGGGGGGTTTGCAAGGTATCGTGAAAGGACGTTCGTGGGTGCTCCTGGCATCGCTTGAACTCTGCGACTTTCAACAATGGCTTCGATCGGACGTGACACTTGCGATACTACGCCTCGATCTGAACGAAGTACCCGGATTGTCAGAGTACGGCCACCCGGACCAAGAGGGCGTCGTTCGAACAGTACCGGGCATTTTATTACTGGTCGGAATGGTATTCGAGGACGCAAACGAGCAATGGAGTGGCTGTCAAATGGCACTAATGCCCATGTAGAGGCGAGCGGAGCGCCGGCCTTATTCTAACGGCGCTGCATCTTTGCACGCTGAACCCGCTGGACCTACGCAAATGTGGCACTGACTCCCTTGCCTAGTAGTGGCGAAGCTAGGATATCATTGCTGTCCCACATCGTCAGCTGAAGAAGGCCATGATGGAGCGTGTATTGACTCAAAGATGCGATGGCCATCTGAACTCGCCAACACATTATGGATGCGCTTGACACAATGTCCTTAGGGTGTCGTAAAGTCGTCATCTTCATCTTCGCTCGACTGTACAGTCAACTCCGTAATTTGTCAAGTTCAGTACCGACAGTCCGACTCAAGGACACGTTTCTCATCTATGCTTTTGAGCGCACAAAATACCTCAAGTAAGTGGCAGGCGCAAAAAGATGTAACATTGCTTCGAGAGACTCAGGTAAGAACAAAAGACCTCAACCCTGCAATGGAACCATCCCACGCGAATGGTAAAATGCGAAAAGATGTGACCGCAAGATGATATGATCATCTTACGATCCTAGTAAGCTGCGACACCTATGTGATTCGAACTTTACCGAAAGTTGGTCAGCTGACTTGCATATCATGTGACGAGACAAGGTATAAACCAACCACATGCTCCCGAACTATGAGGGATTAGCAGTTGTAACAACCGAACGACATGGGTGTCACGAACGGAACTGCCTTAGCAGGGCAGCGCGTTAACCACTCCGCCAAAGTGCCTCGAAGTGCCTCGATGATTAAACACAAAATTTCCAGTCATATATTAAGTCAGGATATTTTGGCCCGAAGTACTGCCAGAAGCCCAACTAGGAGCTCCACTGGAAAACCGACCGGTTGTAACAATGTCGAGCGACCATACGCGCCGAGAAAGTAGATTGTCTGACGATTGCGAACATATTCACTGGGGCCTATCCAGACCGAGTCCATCATCAGACCGTCGCTTGCCCTTGTCACCGAATCCGAGTCACCTTGTTGCATTCATGTTCTTCCGTCGTGCTGTTACCGCGAGACTACTAGAATTGGCGCAACAGTCGTTGCGACACGAGCCTCGACACACAGGTGAACAGGCTGTTCTTCACCTTCGGCCCCGTCCTGTAGCTCTCGTTCAGCAGCCTTCGCTATAATCCTCCACCAGCAGAACGATATTATACCACCGCAAAGATCGTCCATTCTTCCTCCGGTCTCTCCCACAACGTTAACTCGTTCGCGCCAGTGTGGTGGAGCTGCGTCTGACTCAATTCGGTCGCCACCAGCTCGCAATCTGGGACTACTCATTTCCCACCGAGCGTGAATTTATACGGTGTCCGCTTCGTTGCGAAGCCGCCACAGACCTTTTCAAACTCGTCGTAACTTGACTGATCCACGTCGACGTCCATCATTTCGATTCTCTTCAGAAATCGCTGAAATAGTGGGATGCATAGGCTTGCCATTCCGGATCACATAGCCTGCGTTGTCAAGGTGGCAGAGCGAGCGCATACGAGCACTTTCATGGTCTTTGATTGCGGCCAGGAACTCTTTGGCCTAGGAGTTCGACGAGTTGGTTCTTTTTTGTAGCCTGCGGTATACTTATGCCGATTCTGCATCTTGACTCCAGTAGGGCGTGATGCTGTGCCTGCTTCCTGTTGCTTGTGCGGGTCTACTACTACAGTTCCCGAGGGGTTGCAGGTTTGACGTCAACGTCGACGTGCTACTACTCCAGCATCGCTTCAGCTTTAGTCCGCGGATCGACATTCTGCTTCACGATCTTCTCACGCCAGGCCTGGTCTTGTTGCGTCGTCAGCATCCTCGTCGCCGCCGGCCCGCCTGCTGCACCATCCCCTGTCGCAACCGGGTCTGAGGTTTCACGGAGTCCCCCACGAGTGCGACAGATCGCTTGCGTCTGTGCTTCATATAACGATTCTCTCAACGCTGATAAGGCACCACCAGTATGGTCGCTGCAGCCCGGCGCACTGCATGGAGGTGGTTCCAAGATTGGCCGTCTCCTTTGACCTCTGTGCGATAGCGGGCGACATTGCCGCGGGCCTGGACGTTAGCGCGAAAGATATGTTGACGAGGGCCTCGCGACAAGGAGAAGTCGGCAGTCGCGTGCGGCGTGCATGGGATGTGGACGGTGAGTCGTGGCCTGGAGACTGTCTCATGCTGTCTTTACTACTACGGCGACGTCGAATGATACTCTTCTTCTCTCATGTCATTCGCAGCCTAGGCTGTCCATGTCGGTCGTGTTGCCCTCGTATTCCTAACCTCAGGCCGTCAAAACAATGGGCTCGCTTACTCGGTCCTCGTCGGCCGTGAGCGTGCAGCCCTTACGCCATGTCACTACCGACTATCCGCCTCCTTCCCTCCAGCGTACATACTCGCGCAACATCATGAATCTGGAGCAGATGGCGGAAGATATATCGCAGGGCGGGAGTGACATCGGGGAGGAGATACGACGGATGAATGAAGAGCAGAAGCAGCGAAGCCGGCAAAGTTCAATCCAGAGCAGTCATCAGGGCGACATCAATGTGCTCAGAGGCGGTGCTGGTGGTGCGCCGGGCATGGGGCAGACGGATAGCTTGAGTACAGGCAGTCGAGGTCGGGCCGGCAGCAACAACACAACGGACGTCACCGGCGCGGCGAGATGGGGTGGCTACAGTCCCAACCGATTCATGCCTTCGGTCGGCTCTGCACGGTCTGGCAGCGGCTGGACGCACCCTTCTCTCCCTCGCAAGCCTTCGGCCACAGAATCGTCTCGACTGGGGCAGATGGTCGAGCCGATGCAAGAAGGGAAGCCGCTCGATTCACCCCTGGCACCGGGTGGTTCGCTATACAGTACCTCGCCCCCTGAGCATGAACCGTCACGGCAGGCATCGCAGAGTTCCTTCGGCAAGCAATATGACCAGATTGCAGGCCAGATCGAGGAGTCGCTGGAGCACGTACCGCCCTCTCCGCCCAAGCATGGTGGGCTCCTTCCGGGAGATGGGCAAGGACATGGCGGGATGATCACGCCGCCTCTGCGACCGCGTTCTACGGACACCTATCAAGAAGCACAGATGGCGTTCAAGGACTTTGACGGAGTGCACTTCTCTCCGAACACGGACGAGTATGTGGAGCTGGATCAGGACGGCAATGAGATCAGGCGGGTGTCGGCACGCAACTCATCTGGAGTTCTATCCATGTCGGCTGCCTCGCTTCTTCGCACTCCGCGCGCTCGACCGATCTCGTACGCTGAGCCACCTCCCACGGAGGGCATGGTCTACTACCCTGCTCCGGTGCCGCGCATGCTGAATCTGCCTAAGCGGCTGTCTCAGCTACCGGCCGCGAAGGTACAGGCAAAGCGACGGACGCAAGTGCTGAGCCAAGTCCCACCGGAAGCGATGCAGGGCGCACCCTGGATCCCGCAGATGGACTTTGGTGAAGAAGGCTCAAAACTCAGCAACCACAGTCGCGGGAGTTCCGGGTCGCACTCCGAACAGCCTCGCCCTTATCTGAACGAACGCATGAGCACGGCCAACCTCCAAAGCCTCCCTCCACAACTGCGAGCGTCCATCTTCTTCGACCGCCAGTCCGTACCGCATGACGTGGAAGTGAAGAACAAGTCCGCAGTCGCCACTCTGGACAGCATTTTAGCTGCTTCCGCCACAGCGCCTGTGAGCGCTTTCACCGATCATCCCTTTGCCGGCGATGTGCGGCGTTCCACCTTCGCTCCGGAGCATGTGAGAGCGCGACGAAGCACTGCAACGCTGGCGCCAACTATGCCTGCCGAGCCAGAGACGGCCCACAAAGTCGAGAAGCGACGCAGTAGCATCGGCAACCTGCTTCGTCGTACTAGCAGTGGTAATGAGTTGGCAGAGCAGTTGAATCGGCGCGGGAGCCGCAGCAGCCTGCTATTGGACTTCAACGAGGGTGGCAAGAAGCTACAGAAGCGGCGGAGCCGAATGAGTCTGGGTGACGAGATGCAAAGGCAGTCTGACGGTCATCGTACACCCGGGAACGAGCTCTCCGAGCCAGACCCGGCTGCAGGACTGCTAGCAGCGGCGCAACCCGATAGTCTTCGTGGTGCTGAGCACGAAGACCAACGTATCGCTAGCGGCTCGCGACCGGGAACTGCGGCCAGCTGGCAGAACCCGGAAGCCACCGAAGAGCTGATTGAGGAAGAACCCAAAGAAGACGCAGCCCAAGAAAACGGCGAGGAAAACGAAGCCGGATTCGTGCAGCCTAGTACGCTGCTGGCTGAGCTTCAGATCCGCAAAGCCAACCAAAAGAGTCGCAACCGCACCGCCGCGACACATTACCCGAACGGTATGCATTCCACGCTCCTCGAGCTGGATGCCGTGGAGCAGATCAGCAAGAACAAGAGGATGAAGCAGCATATCCCGCTCGCGTGGGAAGGTGCTATGCAGCCGCAGGAGGAACGAGGTGACGAGGACGACGAGATCCCGCTGGGAGTGTTGTACCCTAGCAGGGATGGCCTGGTGGGTGGTAAGAAACGGATGGGAGACGGGAGAGACCATGAGAGGCCGTTGGGGCTGATGGAGAAGCGCGAGATGGAGGATAACGAGCCTTTGGCCTCGAGACGGAACAGGATGCTGGGACTGCCGCCGACTTTTGGGAGAGCGGAGAGAGAGGTGGGCAGGGCTCCCGGTGTCGCGCAGAATATGAGCCAATTGCACTTGGCTGGGCAGCCCGACGCGCCTCCAGAAGGCAAAGAGGAAGACGAAGCAGATGATGAGGACGGTGAGACTCTAGCGGACAGAGTG